CGAACGAACGTAGCGTAGCCCCGACTGATGCATATGCTGACAATGATGGGATAGCGTAGCATTTGTACCATTGGGATAGAGTACAAGAAAGAAGAGGCAGCATGCGATGCTACCTGCAAGAGGAAGAAGTTATTGCGTGCGATTGATGTATTTTATGTGAAAGCTTTTGACTTGCGGCTGTTTTTGGGATTAGCAAGGAAACGAAGGACGAAACGCAAGCAACAACGGAGTAGGAGATACGAAAATCTATTTTGTGAGCATATTTTCTTCAATACGACTTCGGCAAGAGGTGAAGTAAGGTGGAGCGAGAGTAATTTGGTGATGGATTCAAGGAGAAATTGAAAGATTGATTTTCAAATGTAAGGTAAACATTTGAGTTAAACTTAAATTATGATTAGTGTGTGGTCAGTCGGAGGTGCTAAATAAAGCTGGCAATTCAAGTATAATAGTGAAGCGGTGCAATATTACAAATAGCGACAGTCGCAGACGACTCTCTGCAATTCATAGGTGGCAGCGTAACCATGGTTCTTTTTGGGGAGGAAGAAATCATCAATTGTACAAGGAGAAGCTGTGAGGATTTTGAATTCTCAAGGCACCAAGAATCGTCTACAATGCTGGAGAAGTGAGCAACAATGAACTCTCAAAAGGAAAGACTTGTTGGTTCAAACAATCTTGAACGACCTTGACAAAATTTGTTAAGAATTTAAGGTACAAATTGCTCAGCTCACTCTTGCTCATATTGAGATACGGAAGTTGAAAGCTTCACAGGAAGACATGAGGATAAAATTTCAAAAGAACTCAAGTGACACTTCATATTTCCGAAACCCTTACAGATGTTTAAACTAAAGCCACATCATTAGCAACTGTTCCTAGCAGCCCAAAACTGCACGAAGTGATAGACACCATAGAATTGAAGCTCAAGTCATATTCCAAGGCTACTAAGGTTGCGCATATTTCTTTCTGCCAAGAGCAAGAGATCAAAAATGCAAATCAATATTTCCATAGGAAGAATATTAGTATATCTAGTTTACCAGAAACAAAAAATGAAGATGTGAAGAGTGTCGTCTCTAAATTATTAGTTTTTGACACCCTACATGTTCATAGTTCAAACTTAGTCCAGGCTTTTCAGGATTGGGAAGACTGGCACAAAACCTCGGGCCAGTCTTGTCAAGTTTGTCAACTAGTCTCAATGTGACACTGTCATGACCAACACATCTATACTCAAAGTACAAAGAATGTGGTTGGATACCCACCTTACTTCATTGCAAGTAGAAGCTAGAAGGAAGTAACTTGAGAAACTCAAGGAGTTTCAAATGTTAGGTTTTGTCGCTTATTTACATGCTGGTAGAGCAATTGTCACATAGAAGAGAAGAGAGTCATTTATATAGCAATTCAGGGAGTTGAGGGTATTAGTGTGGAATATTCAAGGATTGTCATCACCAAAGTACGTGAGTGCTGATTTAATTTGGGAGAAGGTAGATGTTGTCAACATCGTGAAGACATAAGAACACAAAAGTAACACCATTGCGAAGTTGCAAGGATTCACCTTGATGGGGTTAACATGGAATTAGAGAAGACAACACGCGGGAAGAGGACATGGAGGTATTGCCACTTTCATCAGTACTAACCTTCCATCTATCATTCATTTAGAAGCTCAAAATATCGGAGATCAATATCATTGGTTACGTCTTATGCTTGGAGGATCTCATTGCTATCTAACAATCTGTTACTTTGTTCCATTAGTCATGCCTATCTACTCCACACATATCTACAACCGTAGCCAATCATTTCATAGTCTCATCGAGATGTATTCAAATATCAGAGCAAAGGAGATGTCTTCCTAGCTGGAGACTTCAATGCTCGCATACATTATACTCAATTTGCTCAATTTTGTAGCTCTTTGACCTCTTCTACTTTGGAAGAAATCGATGATAGTCAATGGTCTAGACTCTCTTCCTATCCTTTTACAAACTCTTTGACATAACATTTTCTAATTTTTGGAGCCACTTGTAACATGAAAGTCCTTAATGGAAGCTCTCGCTTTTCCAACTCTCATTCTAATACTCGTTTCTCCTCCTCCAGTGCTAGCACAGTAGATTTTCTTCTATCCTCTTCATTTAGTAGTTCTATTATCTCAACTTTCAAATTTTTTAACCCGAGTCTGATCATGCACCTCTCTTGTTTACTCTATCAATATCAAAAACTATTACTCCACCAATCAACAAACATATTTTATCTTTTTCCAATTTCTGCCTAATACCTCGTAAGAAAGATCTTTATGCTACACATTTATAAGATCTTTTGAAACACATCGATTGGAGCCAAGACTCACATAAAACTAGTTCGCAATTCATAAAACTACTCAAAAACTCTACGTCTAAGTTCTTTCTACGACAAAGCAATAGAAAGACTAGAGGGATGCCTTGTAACGAGTGGTTCGACTGTGATTGCAAGCTAGCAAGGGCAAGAGCAGTTGATAGATCTTTGAATCTCCAAAGTCAAATTCTTTTGACAAGGATATACAAATAGATGGTGAAATCCAAGATAACAGAATTCTTGAGACGAAAATAGGAATTTATGACTAAAGAGCTTATGCAAGACCCTATGTCTTTTCGGAGAAGATAAGCTATATCAATTGCAAAACCTTCTTCAGATTCAGAATACTGGTTAGCTTTTGCCGAAAAGTTTTACTTCTTTCCGAAAGCTAGCTCTATGCCAAAATGCGAAGCAGCACCAGGTTTGTTATCTGAAGAGGAGGTGAAGACTGTACTTAGAAGTTTAGCAAATGGCAAAAGTGAAGATTTGAATGATTTGTTCGTTGAGCTTCTCAAGTGGGAAGGAGACTGTATTGTACCATTTCTCACCAAAGCTCTAAAAGATCTCTTTGTGTACAGTTTTCCTCGAACTTGGTCATTACGGAAGATTGTTCATATCCATAAATCAGGTAGGAAAGACGTGGCGACAAACTTCTGAACCATCATGGTGAGAAGTGTTTTCGCAAAATTGTTTGAAAAGTTGCTAGAATCAAAGCTAAATACTTACACATAGTGTTTTCAGAAGAGATCAAGAGTTCAAGCCAATTTTTGCCCAACGTACATCGCTGTTGGCCATATTTTGGTTCTATGTGTATTATGGGAAAAATCTAAGGGCAACGGTAAAGCTCTATTTTGTGCCTTCATAGATTTCAAGAAAGCTTTTGACACAGTGTCTTGAAAGCTTTTGGAGAAAATATAACAAGACATAGGAGTACCGTCTAATCTCTTGGGAGTAGTGATCACGTTATACAACTCAGTTCTGACCAAGATCAACGCTTCTCAACCAACAAAAATTCTAAGTACTACTGGAGTCATTCAAGGTTGTACTCTCTTTTAAACTTTATTTGGAATTTTCATAGATGACATAGAAAGGTGGTCAGACGAAAGTGAGAGTGAAGGTGTTAAGCTCGGAGACTTTATTATCAAAGTTGTGTTATATGTAGATGATATCGTCTTATTAGCACGTGATGCTATTGGTTTACAAAAACACCTTGACATATTAGCAAACTTCTGCACCAAGAATGAGATGGAGGTAAACTTGGAGAAATCAAAAATCATTTTAGTCGGTGCTAGATCTGATTTTTCTTTCTGTTACAAAGAACTAAAGTTAGAACAAGTGAAGGTTTACAAATACTTAGACATTCTCATGACTACAGTTGGGCACATTGTGTGCAAAAGAGAATAGAAGTTGGTTACAAAGATCTCTATTCACTCTTAAATAGATGTAGGCAAGCTCATCTTGTATCTTGGAAACTTTCGAAGTTTTTATTTAAGACACTAGTGTTGCCAGTGATTTTATATGGGATCCAAGTATGGGCACCTGGTTGTAAAAAGACTAGTTGGGAGCGCCTGCAGAAGATTCAGAAGATATTTGTACAAAAAGAACTTGGGGTGAGAAACCAAACCCCCTATGCCATCCTAATGGCAGAAACAGGTTTTCTTCTGGTTGAGGTTGAAGCTCTGTATTTGACTATCAATCACATTGCACGGAGAAAATCTCTAAGTCCCTCTTGACTTCCTCATCAAGCTTTACAAGACAAGGATGGTTCTTATATTTGGTGGCTTGGTACTCAAGATGGAATGTGGAGTAACGACACTTGCAACCATTGGCACTTCGTAAACATCTATAGGAAAAAACTCTCTACATTCTTTGGAGCAAATCTGGCACCAAAATGAAGTTCTACAAACTTCATGTAAACCATATGCTTGTTTATTAAAAGCATAGGGTTTACACTGAACTGTCAACAAGTATATCTACTTGCTAGGATTTCTATTCTTTTACGTCATATTATTGCACGGCATAAAACTGGATCTCACAATGTACATATTGAGGATATGATTCATTTCTCAACGAGGTTAGAAGCCATATATGTAAGTTCTTTGCTTGAACAAGATGGGTTTGTGCAATCTTTATTAAATTCTTCTCAGGATGGTATGGTTGTGGTGGGGTGAGTTTGAACACAACATGGGAATTCTCACACGGAACCAATTTTAAAATATGTACATAAATCAGTTGACCTAAGGTCTTTTATTGATGGGTAAATACTGCCCATGATGTATGACTTCAATCATGAAGAACACACAGTTTCCATACTCCGTGAAAAAGCAAATGATAGACTGCTCGCCAATTCTTTTGGATCCATGGTGCGTCCTCTTCTCACGGTGCAATTTACAGAAAAGCATTCAGGAGATTTGCAGATCCTTTGACATGGACATATATATACCCCACTACATTATTCCATAGAATTCGTGTTGGGGCTAGCCCGTATTTTATTCATGCACGTAGAGTGTTGGCCATGTTAACCGGTGCGTCCGTAGTTTGTGGTTGGAATTAAGAAGTTTCAGTATTCGGGACGGACTCCAAGTTCGACCGGAGGATCCCGTCAACCGGTTCACGAGGAAGATGCCCGAGGGCGAAATCCGCGAACATTTGTGGCTCTTGGCTCAGACGGCTGCTCCGGGTTCAGACGAGCCCCTCGCTGGGCTGCAGAGCAGAGCATCGCACGAAGGCGCGAAGGAAGGGAAGCAAGGCAGGGAAGGGACATTGTGGGGGAAGGTGTGAGGGAGATGATGGTGTGAAAAAGCTCGGACGATGATCTTAGCGAATTCGTTTGCCTCCACCTGAGGGAAGGTGGAATTCGTGGATCTGCCCCTCGATCGAGTGCGATGGCGATGGCTGGCCGGAGAGGTGGGTGGCAGCAGTGGGTAAAGCATGCGGCAAGGGCCGCGGAGGCGAAGTATTCTGCTGCTGCTGTCCCCGGGCGAGGAGGCCTCGACTCTTTGGGAAGATGTGTCGGGGAGATCAGGCAGGGATTAATCCACCACGGAGGAGGAGGAGCAGACGGGTCGTTGAGATCGCTGCATTCTTGCTCAGGGAATGCCACTGCTGCCGGACTGGCAGCGCAGTGGCGATCCGCGCAAGTCGATAATTTGCTGAGGCGAGGATCAGGTCTGGAGGCGAGGAATTTTCTGCACAGTGGATGCTCGCAGCTGGTGAAGAGTCAGGTCCAGCGATCTCTTGCTTCGGGTTCCAAACAGGCTTTTCTCACGCCTAGGAGAAATCTGAGCAGCTCGGAAACCCCAACTTGGGCGCAGAGATGGAAGGAGACCACCCAGAAGTTCAAGGATGCAGTGAATTCCAAGCCCAGAAGCAACTCTGGCAGCGGGGCCAGTGTTGGATTGAAGGCGGGCAGCGTTCCAGGCCGAGTAGGAGAGGTGCTGTCGGAAGCTTCCTCTCCACTGCGAAAGACCTTTTCGCACTACAGAGAAGCTGCCTTACTTCAACTCGAGGCTTTTTGGAAGAATAATTACATGATTCTTGTGGGAGTTGTTGGAGTGGGAGTCTGCCTGCTCCTGTGGCGTCTCATGTTCGGAATTGCCAGTACCTTCATTTCCATGTCCGAGGGCCTGGCCAAGTTCGGGTTTCTCGCCCTTGCTGCTTCTATGGTGATTGTGGGAGTAAGTTTCAACACAGCCTCGTATTAACCGCTGAATTCATGAATCAGTTGAATGTACACTGTTGTTACCTGGACTCTTGTAGGTCAGATTGCCGGACCTGTCTCTTCTCTTTAACTAGTTAAAGAGAAGAGACACTGTACGCTTGGCATAACAAAATGTTGTTCACGAATTTCGCTCGAACTCACAAGAACTTTCATTGTACATCATTAGAACATGTCCACATGCTGTCCCGACCTACTAGTTCCCACAGGCAATGATTGCCAAAGTGTGCTGCCTCATACTGATACGCTGAAGACCCTAGCTTGGGACAAAGTAGATGCCAGTTTTGAGATTCTGTTTTCGAGGAAATGTACCGATTAGCGTGTAAAGTAACCGGCATTTTCTCAGGTAGGTCACTGTCTGGATTTACCGCAGTTGTGTGAACTATTTGAACATCCTCCTTTTCTCTGGTACCTCTGTTGCATTCGAGTCATAAGGTTATAAATAAGTCATAAATAAGGAGGTGAAATGCACGTTGGGAAATGGTCGCGAAGAGCTTTATGTCTTGTGAGTACGTTGTTTTTAAGAATTGTACTTCACGCTCCTCTTCCCCTCAGTACTGACTTCCATGAGGTACTTGTGGCATCTGCAGGGTGTGTATATGAGAGCAAAATTTACCATCAATCCCGATTCAGTGTACAGGATCGCCATGCGCAAGCTCAACACTTCAGCAGCTGTTCTGGAGGTGATGGGTGCTCCATTGTCCGGCACAGACCTACGAGCGTACATAATGTCAGGGGGAGGTTTGCGATTTAAGGGCCTTAGGCCACGAATCGCTGGCAAGCGATGCTTCGTCCTGTTTCCCATTCGTGGATCAGAGAGGAGAGGTCTAGTGAGTGTCGAGGTGAAGAAGAAGAAAGGAAAGGTAAGATTCTGTGGGATTTGTAAGTGATCCTCTGAACTGTCCGATAAGGACTTGGCATAGTCGTCTCACAGGGCTAATTGTTAAGAGTGTGTCTCAAGGCCACGGCTTTGCTTTGATCATGTTTTGGCCATATGTTTTATTTGCTAATACTTAGAAGCTAGAAATCTTTGCATTAGGTCATTCTTGATGAGTATTTTGGCCTCTGTTGTGCGCTTTCTGATTATTACGAAAGTGCCACGGACGATATTTTGGAAAAGTCTTCAAGATGTTGGTGTCGCGTATGCTGGTCATGTCGACTCTCTGTTCCATTATCCTTCGGGGGTTTCGTGCACTTCGACTACAACTCATTTAATCATTTTGTCTCAGAAGAGAGCTTCTCTCCGACGAACAGAGTAGTCTCGCAGTGTTTTAACGTATTTCTCCTCTTTTGTTTGTAAATGCCGCAGTACGACTTCAAGCTGTTAGCAGTTGACGTACCAACGGCTGGAGCAGACCAGCGTTTGTTCTTGATCGGTGATGAAGACGAGTATAAAGTTGGTGGCGGCCTTATTTCTGAGTTGAGGGACCCGATGGTAGTAGCTATGGCAGCCCAGAAAGAATTCGAAGAGCTTGACATCAGAGAAGAAGAAGAAGACGAGCGGAAACAAGCTGAAGCTGAACAGAAGAAATTACAGGCAGAGCTGGAGCAACTGGAGAAGGAAAGGGAAGATGCCTACCGTGAAATGGAAGAGCAGGAGGCTCGGACTAGAGAAGAAGAGGCCAAGGCCAAAGAAGAGGCCAAAACGGAGAGGATTGCCGCCTAGACCCGTGACAGACAGATAATTACAGCAAGGTCCCTAATCGGGAGATAAGATTTTGAATAGTTAGCTGAAAAGGTTTTGATGAGACCCCTGTTAACCGGGGGCAAAGTCCATAAAAATAAGGAACATAGGAATATCCATCCGAAAGCGCAGTGGTGTAAGTGAGAATACTGTCATATTACAAGAGAGAAACAGGGAATCAACAGTCACATTCAATAAATCAGGAATTTTTGGCCCTGTTGAGAAGCAAAAATATTGGCAGTGTGTTTGGTAGCTCTTGTTATGATGGAGTGGTTTGTGTCAAAGTAATGAATACGGATAACCATATGTCAACACCCAACTTTCGCTGCCAATATGGAACGTAGAGCGTTTGACAATCTTGCCAGATATACTCTACCTCACTATCTTGCAGTAGAGATGCGCCACTGCGAATTGAAGGTAGTTCAGCCCAGCAGTCTTCCCTCATGAAGTACTGGATCGCACGTAGACGTTCATACCAGTATGTTTCATCGCCTTACCCAAGCGAGGAGTAAGGTTTACAAGGGTTAAGTGTACCAAGCTCGGCTACTCCTTTACCTGGACACAGATCATATATTCAGAAATGACAGTCATCTAACAGAGGATGTTAGAAAATTCAGGTTAGTCTCCCAGTTCAGCAGTACTTTCCTCGGGTGATACTACAGATTATGGCGAAGTACGAGAACATAATATGCACCTTTTTGTAGTGCCACGATGCCTGGCCCGCTAGCCTCTTCGGTAAAATAAATTTTGATTTCAAAGTTATCGAATAAAGCTTAATTGCTCGACGTCTCTGCACACTATCATGTGATTTCAGTCACAGATGGCTTGGAACGATTTGGGAAGTTAAGACGGTATGCCTACTTGCCGAACTGAAGTAGCAGGGGCCAAGTGGAGAGCCAAAAGCGATGGGAAGACCCCATCAAGCCCCGAGGTAAGGTAATATTTAACTGAATTTCCATATGTTTTATTTCTGGTGTTGAAGGATAAAGTGTTTTATCCTTGCCTTTTAATTTTGCCCAGTATTTCAATTGAATAAGAGCGCAACATGAATGGAATAGAGATGAGATCTCACACTCTTTGGGAGAATCTTCACAGTGCGAGCGGTTTGGTGAAATTCTATGTTTTATTGCCAAATTCATGAAACGTAAGCCCTTCAAGTATTTATAGTACCAGTTATGAAAAAAAAATTGAATGACCATACCATGTGTCTTGCTGGGTCATTGGCTTATCCTGGTATCTAAGAATAAATAAATATGTAGTGGGTAGGCACTTTTTACTCGGCGCTTAGTGCTTTAACAAGGTCCAGCTTTGGCTGGATGCATAGGGAGATGTATTTGACCAAAATAACGTGGCAACAGGATAGAGTCCCTTTGCATGCAAGACCATCTATTAGAACTTCGATGTACGTGCAAGGACTCTCACAATTGGCGGAAGTAGACATGGTCAAGAGCAAGTCATGGCATGAACGATAGAAACAATTGTAAACCCTACCCAACTCGAAGGTGAAGGAGTAGACGAACTATGACAAAATAAAGAAACACCAGCTTTATAACAGAGGGGAAATAGAAACAGGGCATGCAAATAACCTTGAATCCATAGGTTTGGGTCAAATGAAAAGTCTTTTTGTTTCTCTTTATTTGCTAGGAGTCAGGGTATATTTTTCAAGAATTCACGCCGGTAGACTAATCATATCGTAAAAAAAATTTACACAGGATAGAGGCGGGATAATCTTGCGGAGGGGATAGCCATGGTGGCTCAAGCCGTATTTTAATTTGGTTGTGATAAGATGGGAAACACATATGAGTGCCGTGTTTTGAAGACAATAAAAATGCTCTTCATTTTAGTTTCAGTACTATGTAGATTTTAACTTTGGTGTGGGTAATCTGGTTTTGAAAAAATGGGCAGCATATATGAAAGCCGTATTTCGAATGAAAAAGAAGCTCCAGATATTTGTTCTCAGTAAGATGTAGATTTAAAGCGGCGACAATAGATTTAAGATGTTTTTGGTCCTCTTGTTCGTAAGTCCAGTGGCTCTGCGATGACTTGTTGGTAAGAAGTCTGCCTGCCGCCATTCTCGGTCGTCTCCATCTCTGTAGACGAGTCGAACTTGTGCTCGAATTGATCGACCAGCTTGTAGCGAACTGACATGACGTCGTATGAATCGATTTAAACGATTGAACGACTGTTGCTGAGAAGAAATCGTTGGGGGTGGGGTGCCGTGAGGTATCCGTGTTGGTGGGTGCACGCATTGACCACTCGGAAACCGTTAGAGCGAAGCGTGGAGATGTATGCGCCAGGTTCATCTCAGATCGAGGTGACATGTGTGAGCTCCAGCCCTGACTTCACTCCATTGCAGAAGATGTCGATCGACAACACGCTGGACCCGGGATTGATTGATGGATGAATGGATGGACGAGTGGATTGATGAGTGGACGAGTGGATGAATATAAAGGCAGCGCCGAGATGAGATGACTAAATGATCAGATCATCCGAGCAACACGTCTGTTCCCGAAGACCAAATGAACATGAACATGAACCTCAGCTGAAAGCTCGTGACATCGGGATATAACACGCATGATACATACATGCCAGACGAGACGCGAGACCTTTCTCCAAGCGAAGGGAAGAAGAGAAGGACGTCACACCACATGAAATTCAACGAAATGAAATTTAATGAAACGAAACGAAATGGAATGATTGAATGAATAGATGAATGAGTGAGTGAGTGAGTGAGTGAGAGAGCAAGGGAGGGATCATCGCAGGGCCAAACTAGAGAAACGAACTGTGCGTGTGTAACGTCTAGTGCAGCGCAGTCCACGCGGTCGCCGCCGCTGCCACCACCACCGACGAGACGAGGAGGAGGAGGAGGAGGAGGAAACATGCGCGGGCTTGGGGATAGCGCCAGAAGGGAAAGAGAAATAGAAATAGAGAGAGTCTGGGAAAGAAGGAAAGGCGAAGGGAAGGGAAGGGAAGGGAAAGGAAAGGAAAGGAGGGGCTTGGGTGGCAGGCATTAGGGCGACACGAGGCCAGGCGTAGAGAAAAGGAAAGCGCTTATTGCGCAGTCGAGGAGCCAAAGGGAGAGGGAGGGCCGAGCGGATCGAGGCCCACCTACCCGGACACGGACACGGCCTCATAGCCTCCCCCAAGCAGACGAGACGAGTCGAGACCGAGAGAGGGCTCGCGGTGCAGCAGAAGTCTGATCGAGGAGCAGGAGGAGGAGGAGGAGAGAAAGAGATTCGGGGAGAGATAGAGAGAGAGAGAGAGAGAGAGGGAGAAGTTTGTCGTTGCCTTTGGTGTCTGCGAGCGGGCGGGCGAGGTTGTGCGATTTGGGATTGTGGGAGGGAGGGAGAGAGGGAGGGAGGGGAGTGAGAAATAGCGTGTTGGTTTGCTCGTTCGTGCGTGTGTGTGATCGGATTTGCAGGGACAGGTTGCAGGCAGATACAGACGGAGGTGGAGTGGGTGAAGAAGGAGGAGGAGGAGGAGGAGGATTGGGGACGAGTTCTGGTGGTGGTGGCGCATCGAGGGGGGAAGATATTGGATGAGACTCGGACGAGGAGGAAATCTGGGTTGCATTGTTGCAGGAAGGATTGAGCAGAGGCGAGGAAGGGGGAGAGGAAAGGCGAGCGAGAGAGGGAGGCGAGAGGCAGACAGAGACAGACTGTTATTGAGAGGAGAGGAGGGAAGGACGAGTAGAAAGACGAGTGTGAGAAAGAGAATAACGTGATCAGGTTGGGGGGAACGGAATTGCGAGTCGTGTCCCGTGCAAGATGAGATGAGTTTTGTTTAAGATGAGATGATTTCAAAGTGTCTAGGAAGGAAGGAAGCAAGAAAGAAAAAAAAGAATGAAAGAAGAAGAAGAAGAAGTGAGTCTGTTCTTGGGTGTGCAGAGAGTCATAATCATCGGGTGGGGTTAGACCTTTCTGCAGACAATTGCTTGTTTCCTTGTTTTCTTTCCTTTCCTTTCCCAATTGAAGGTTTCCCCATCCGGATTTCAGCACGCACTCATCGCCAGCTTTTTGGTTTTCATTCACTACCTGATTTTCATGTCCCGGTAGTTTCGGCCGGCCGGCGCGCCTGCCGGTTGGCACACCTTCACCTTCTACATTCATTCTGAGGGATTGCAATATGGGGTCACTCGTTTACCGAAGTGGGCAGTCTCACTGGGCTTCTAATCTGCTCTTTCATCTGAGAAAGAGACGCAGAGCAAAGTCAAGAAGCGTGCATCCAGTGCGCGGCATAGATGAGGCTAGGGTCTTAACTTCATGCTTCCTGTACACGAGCACGACTGCACCTCAAAACATCTGTCAGAACTAGGTCACTGCCATTCACCACGAAGCACTCTCTCGTTTCCACAGCCTCGCCATTGTGCTTGACGAGGCTCTGCGCTGCGCCTTCGTTACTCAGTTTTATGTTCCCCTCCCCTGCTAATCCCCGCCGGCCCACACCTTCACTTCCTCTCCGTCACCTGTTTTATTACTGTGATGTTTAATTGGTCAATCGATGGCTGTTTCTGCTCCGGTCCTGGCAGGCCTCACTTCTTCTTTCGCGTGGTATTTAAAGAACTGTCTACTTTATTGCACTTGCATTTTTCTCTCCTGGGCAGTCATTTCACATGTAGACAAATTGATAGGCAAGAGGAGAGGGGCAAAATTCTCACCAATATTTTCGAGAGGCCGTCGTGTGTAAAATCTTGACACGGGTTGTTGCCGATGCAGGGTCGGTGAACGGGGACCATGTCTCTCGGATCAAGAAAACTTGTGGTTCTCGGCATCCCTTGGGATGTAGACACAGAAGGACTGCGGCAGTACATGTCCAAGTATGGGGAGCTCGATGACATAATCGTCATGAAAGACCGAGCCACTGGACGGTCGCGGGGCTTCGGGTATGTAACTTTCAGGTTAAGTGAGGATGCAGAGAAAGCTGTTTCCACCGAGCACACTCTGAGTGGTCGCATGTTGGAAGTGAAGGTTGCAACACCGAAAGAGGACATGAAACCACCGACCAAGAAGATCACGCGTGTCTTCGTGGCCAGAATTCCCCCCAGCGTCACCGATGACATGTTCCGGAATTACTTCGAAGGGTATGGAACACTGATTGACGCATATATGCCCAAGGATCAGGTCACCAAAGCACATCGGGGGATAGGATTCGTCACCTACGAGCACCCTGAATCCGTGGACAAGCTGATGGCTGAGTCTCATGAGCTTGCAGGTTCCACAATTGCGGTGGATCGAGCGACTCCCAAAGAGGAAACCGCGAAACCGTGGGGCAAGGGATTCCAAAGTCCTTATGGCGCTTACGGAGTGTACACTAGTGCCGCTGCACGATTTGGTGCCTTTGGTGGGGCCTTTTTTCCTGGATACGATTACTCTGGAGCAGGTCTGGGTGCAGACTTCGGAGGAGGTGGTTTGCCATTTGCCGCTGCCAGCGCTTGGCCTCCTCCGGCAGCACCTGGGGCGATGATGGGAGCACCCAGCATGGGGGTGCCAGGCGGTAGCCCGGGTCCAGGCTACGGATCCTCTTCTGTCACTTCTCAGGGTTCTGCAGGTTCCAAAGGAGTGGGCACCAGGATCTTCGTCGGCAGATTGCCTCCGGAAGCCACAGCCGAAGATCTGCGACGATATTTCAACAATTTCGGTCGAATTCTAGACGTGTACGTTCCCAAGGATGCCAAGAAGCAGTCTCACAGAGGATTTGGGTTTGTGACTTTCTCCGACGAGGGAGCTGCCGAACGTGTTGCCCTCCGATCTCACGAGCTTCTCGGTCACCAAATTGCCGTCGATCGAGCTGCCCCCCATGATGGCGGTCACGGCAGAAATGCAGCTTCTGGGGCGAACTCCACTCTTCCTGGTTCCGGAGGCGCTGGGGGTCCGATGAGAGGCAACTTGGGCTCAGCACCATCGTCCGGCTATGGCGGTTTACCTGGAGGTTTCGACTACCATGGCGGCTATGGAGGTGGAGGCATGGTTGCTGCCGGCGATGGCTCGGGAGCACCTGGGCATCGACAATCTAGGATCGAGCCTCGTTACAGGCCATACTAGACTCTGTGTAGATGAGCTTGCTTACTACATTAATAGGTTGGCTGCGTCCTGCTCCTGCGCTAGTGTAGGTACGGTAGTGATAGTGTGTGTCCGTCTATGAGGATGCTACTCTCTCTGATGAATCACATAACGATGGATCTTCGGAGGTTAGTCGCGTTGCACACGTACGGTGGAAGCTAAGTCTGAAGAGCAGAGTTGAGTACAATAGAGTTCACTTGTTCCTTGTTCTACCCATCTTGGAGTTTTGAAGCCATGGCAGGAGCAGCATCTTAGGTAGGAAGGATTCGATCACTCCGGTCTCAAGAAGGTGCGTCCTGAATGTATCATATGTGCCTAGCAGAGTCACCGTCCGTATGTAGCTCTAGTAAACCTACACTGTCTATATTAGTTGAAAGTAGGAAGAAATTTCAGTATACATCTCTTAAAAGCCTTTGCTCGCCTGAGACGACATGGATTCAATGATTGCAAAGTACACACTTCGATGAGCTTTATTAAATTCTAACGTCCTCGCAAGGTGAAACGATTGTTCAGTACGGTATCTGCATATCTAGATTGCGAGCTGATGCCTCCACCAGCTTCCGTTGCCTCTAGAGATCACCGGAGCTGGGTCCTTCCTCTCCAGCTCTTCCCTCGCAGATTCTCAGCCTGGATTCCTCGCTTTCATCGGCGTTCATTCCTCGGTTTAGCTGATAAAGATCGACAGTGTCTTCCATCTCAAACGTGGCCTTCACGACCTTCACATTCTCATGCAAGTCTCCCCGTAGATTGTGCAGTACTCGAACGTGATGTGCCATCGTCGTTCCCCGTGAGACGCCTGTTTGTGTCCATTTTTCTTTCATGGGATAGACCTGGGGTGAACATGACACGGGAGACTTTTAAAGAACTTAGTTTGCTTGAACCAAGTTCTGGGTAAATGAGTGGTCGTTATTTTCATGTTGTGAAGCCTTCGGTATATTCAAAGCCGACATCCAAGGTCTGTACATTCCAATGAGGCGAGGAATCTGTGGGTTGTGAGTAAGTTTGGCGATCGAAGATGATCATCACCTGACAGAGGTTGTGTCGATGGAAGTGACTCTCCTTCGTTTGAGTGCTGTCGGTCCTCATTTTCTTCAACGCTTGCACCCTTCGTGTTCCAAGGAGATATGTTATCAGCTGAAGCATAGAAAGACTAAGCTCCAGAAGAAATGAGCGAGAAATTAAGACCACGCACGGATGTGAGAACCACGGCTGCCACCGCGTAGTAAATTTGAACGAACCACGTCCAGCGGTGAGAAGGGAGGAAAGCAAGGACGCACCGTTTTTCCAGAGTCTCCTCGTCCCATCGGTGGATGGGAAGTGCGTGGGCACATGTTTGCACACCGAAGTCACTTGGTAAGGGTTCTTTGAAAAGCTGTAATATCTGCAAGCACATGATGATTCCCACTGAGCAAGAGCTGACCCACACTTTTATAGCATCCGAAGGCTTATGGCATTCGAGGATGTATCTTAGTCAGTGCACAAGGAGGCAAATGGACGAGGAAGCACCTTCGGTATTGAGACGTAAGAGAAAGCTTGAGTATTGTGCAGGCCTAAGATGTGGATCAGCTGTGGCATCTTCAACAAAAACGCGTGAATACTTCGTAAATAAGCTTGCGGAGCCTTCAAGAACCTGCAAACAGCATCTGACAAAATCAGTCAGTCAGTCGAGAGTCCAAAGAAAACTTGATGCGCTTACGAGAAAACTCGATGGCATCAAGAGAACCTTGCGAAATGTCATGTATTGAACTGTTTCGACGAGCTGAGACCAGCCAACATTGCGCAGAGAGCACATAATGGCGCATGGAATCTACCGACCTGCCCATGGCTTCTTCGTCTGCGAATGCATAGAACTTGTCTCCAGTTTGAACCAAGCCGATCTTCGTGTCACCTCTCATGAGCATACCATTCTTCACGACCAGGGACACAGGACAAAATCCACCATACTCCAGCCTAGATTTCAGCGACTCCACTTGTCCGTCATCGACCAGTGTTGCCCTCTGGCAACCTCCAATCTCGAGTCTGACGAACACCAGAAAGAGAATTTAATCCTGACTCATGAATTTCCTGCGTTCGTGCACTTCCAGCTCAAGGGAAGACACAATGTCCGAGGTAACTTCGTATCTGATTTTGAGAACCTTGTGCTAGATCTATGGAGAAATGGTTGCAATCGTCAGGAGGCTCTTGATCAAAAGCCTAGTTGTCTTAGAAAAGATTCCAGCCACAGAGAAAGGATTCCAGCCTGATCACTAATATCAAATTCCTCCTCTTGGCAGTGCTACTAGTTGACTGGTTGAAATCAATAGACCACTTGGGGCCAAAGCAAAGATGAGCTACGATGTTGAGTCTGGGACAGGGTTCGAATCATCCAGACGCCTCCAAGCCAGAGAAGGGAGAATAAAGACGGAACGCTTTCAGGAATTGTACGAGTTACTACATTATGATAGACAGCCAGCGATGACGATCATGGTGGATTATCAGGAGTGTGATCAAAAAATCATGGGTAGGAGGAATCAACTGATTGATAAGCGAATGATACAGTCCAGTGACAAACCACGACAAAGAGGAGAGCTGTGTACATGCTGTCTGAGGGGCATTCCAGCGACGATCCTCTGGGAAGAAAGAGGAAGTTTTTGGCCTTAATTTCCAGCCGTCTGCTTCCCATTGGGGCCATGACAAACTCCGGCTTCTCTGAGAGAGCAAAGAGTGGATCCGCTGCCACTGAATGTGCCCTGAGAAGATTGTATTCTTGCAGAATGTTCCTCTGGTACATGCCTATCCTCCTCAACTCTGGATACACCTGAATTGTCGGGTTCATCCAATCTAGATTAGACCTCCCAGTAGATATAGAGTACACACGCATGAGTCCATTAATTGACAGAACCAAAAAGACTGAAGAATGTGTGCGTTTGTAACTACTCTCTTTTCACAATGTGAAAACTTTAAAATGGAGAGGAAACGTCGACTGAAAATGAATACATCGTGGCCAGTGTTTTGAACAAGTCATTTCTCCGGAAACAATGTATATGAAAACGTGATCCACATGATATTACAGATTATTCAGATCCGAAGTAACTCAAAGACTGGAAGCTGAAGTTGAAGTTAAGACTGAGTATTTCGGTTTATGTGACCACCAAGAAATTATACACATTTGATGCAGAGGCCTTCAATATTTGCGAAAAATTTGTTCACCATAGTCTTTGTCTTAGAATCAGAAGAGCAAAGATTTCAAATCAGAACTGCGGTTGACAGCATAAGAACTCACTAGCTCGGCAGGAATATTCTTCCGGTTTCCAATAGTACCAACAATTCTGTTGACGCAGTGCGCGGAATACTCGCGCACATTGATGACTTCATTCAGTCTTTCAACAATAAAGATATCCAGGGAGTTCAAGTATACGGCTGCTTGCATGAAATAAGTAAGCTCGTCCCTCAGGCGGACAATAAACATATGTCCCAACCCAAACTCTCCAACATGGGCACGAATTCCCAAGATGCAATTTGCCACCCTACTATCTACCAGTTTAATCGTGTCCTGCACTCTCTTCCTCAGGTTGTCGCTCTCTACTTCGTACTTAGTATAAGGCAGTATGAATTGCTCTCCACCCCTTTGCATACATCTGACGCAATCACACACACAGAGAGGGCAGTTCGAAGTGAGTGACAGTAACTAGTATTAAACCAGAGCAGCATTGCAACCATAGAAAATGACGATGTGCCTGTGAAGGAGCCCTTTTTGTTATCCCTCTCCTCATAACCATAAGAAGGGAAAGACATCGAAGGAAGCTTTAGAGGACATCTGGATATGCCTCACGGGGGACGATATTTTGGAGTCATAAAGTTTTGGTTTTATTGATGACCGACACAGTAAACTGCGCACAAAAGTATATGAGCAAAATTGTGATATGATATTATATTGCAGTGGATGAGAGTAGCTAGCGGAGTACTTGTTGAACACACGAATTCCAATAACAACATCCGCAAGCTCCTCCATCTGCAGGATTTTCTCTTCCTGGGGTAAGTCCATCCAGTAAAGGAGTACTTTCTTTGGTAGAACACTTTCTAAAGCCTCCAATATTTCTCCATTACGGAGATCGGCGACAACCTCGTCGGTGTCAATTTGTCGACTAAGTTCCACTAAGTATTCCATCATCAGCCCGTGAAGAAGTTCCACGATTTCAAACAACTTCCGGATATCCCCAGCCTGAAGTAAACCCATATAAGTCAGATCTCTCTAGTACTGTGCTGTCACGTACTCAAGTTCAGAACACATTTATTGGTTCAAGTTCAGAACACGAAATTGCACTATTCAGCATCCCAACGTTGTTGTTGGGAAATGAGAGACAATTTGACTTCAAATCACATGAAAAGATGGAAACTCACCTTCACGTCGACTATGAAACCCATAATTGAGTCCAGCGTCTCTTTATACTTGATTCTAGTTTTCACATAGTTGGCTGTGGAACGCTCAAGTGCTGTCTGTACGGTGACCTGTGAAGGGCGGAACACAAGATACCAAATTACCGAGGGTCAATCACGAAGATCAAGCATGAGCTTGTCGCTCGTATTTGATCATACGCTCCGCACTAATTTTTAGCAGTAACAGAAACTGAAGTACCCTCTTCTCTCGCAATGTAGAGCAGTCAGTGGATGGGGCTGCAAGCATCTGAAAACTTTTCTTTCGTATACTCAGAAGTCCTCACACTTGATGGAGCCCCTCGTGGAGGAAGTTTCTTGGTTCTGGAGGCCTCTGGCAATTAATTTCAACAAAGGGCAGCTCCTGTTCTGGTGACTGACTACAAGAAGACTTCATCGGGACATAGCTACAAAGCTGTTGTAGACCAGGCAAGCATCAAACACTCGAAGGCTCGAGGGAGTACTTGTAGCTGGACGGTTTCTTGAGCAGGGCAATCACAATGCACCAAGTGTTGAACGCATAGGTCAAGCAATTGTTTGTAATCGTCGTCGCGCATGTCGCGTCCGAATCTGAAAGGAACGCACGAACTCGTTCTCAAGAAACCATGTCTCGTCCCGAGAAGCAACCCTGACCCACCATTGTTGACAGACAGAAAGACCTCAAACGGACTAAAGCGCTGACCTCTTAGGATGCTGTGCCATGGCTATGCGGGCTTGGAAGCAGGCGAGAATCTCCACAGCAAACCTCCGATCTCTTGCTTGATTGTAACCTTTATGGTCTCTGAACAAACACACGATGTCGCGAACGATTCTCTCAATAGGTCTGGGGTCCGACGGCCCAAGAACCGGATCTGCTTCTAAATCACTCGTCAAATGAACCAATTTGATATCCTTCGGTTTAGGCTCGGGATCCGGTTCCCGCACAAACTCCATCGACTTTTCCATGGCTCTTCTCCCCGTCCAGCGTCCTGCCGGTCAATTCGAAACCTTCGAACCAGTCCAATGTACTCGCAACGCTTTCGCTTCCATTGAAAGCGTCAGAATGACGATTGTCGTGGGACGGTGGCGCCCATATTACACATCCGTTCCGTGGATGCCCATCCGGCTCGACTGTGTGGGGCTGTTACGCGCAATCGATGCGAATCGAGTGAATGAGGGAGTCACGATGGCGCAATCCCGGCAATCGAGATGTTCGGCATTTTCCATTCGTCAAACCTCTTTGGAGGCAGTCGGACGAAGAACCATCAGACCTCGAGAGCAAGAAGCGACAGAGAATCGGTGACCGGACTGGACGCGAGACCAATGGACAACGTGAGGCAGAGTACGAGTGAATGCATGAATCGACGTTTCTGTCACATGAAGCCTCGTGCCAAATCGAAGTTCCAGATGCTCGATGTGCAAGATCCGAGCGAAGGCGCGACGAGACGAGAATTTCTACGCCGTGCGTGCAAGCGTGTGGGATTTCTGCTTGGGAAAATGCAACCGATTATATGGAGGGCAGACAGCACGAGACGAGCTCGGCCTCCCTCGCCTGCGGGCCCAAGATTCTGTGTGCCGGTGCGCGGACACACGCGGGCCTTTGTTTGGACATGTTCCGTGACTTCTGTCGCATCTCATTGTTCAGCGCGTGCGTTTTCGACATGAAACATGATTCTTTCTTCAAGTTCCTATGCTTTGCAGATGATATCATGCGTTGTAATTTATCTAAAATCTTATTATACTTTGGCTTTTTCAAAGTCTTTTATAACTATTTTTCATCCTTTTGTGACTTAATGTGATGATAATTTATTTATTTTCGAGATTATTTTATCTATGTTAGTTCATTAATTATAAAAAGTAACGAAATGTATAAATGACTCGAAAATTTACTTTCTATTATACTCAGCAATGGTGATATATTATTATGCATGATCATTATCTTATCAACATTAATCATGAAATATCCCAATCTTTAATAAGTCAGAAGGTAAATCTTGTTATCATCGATATTACTGATTAGAGTTGACTTTGATATAACAGAAAGATATGTTGTATGGATGATATAGATATATGTATGATAGAAGTTGGAGAGACAAAATATTGTAGATGAAACATTATTGTCATTTGATTTCAAGGATTTAATCGAATACATAAAACAGTCTAACTAGATTAAAATATTTTCAAAGAATATAGAATAACATATCTGAATATTATATATTGGAATCAAACATATTTTTTTTATTACTTTTAAAAGAAAAAAAATTCAAAATATAATTTACATATTTGAAAATGGACTTCAGAGTACTGCTGATGCAAATTACGAAACTGATTAAAAGTGAAAATGAAGAAAATCAATACAATGGATGTCCGAAAATCTTCAATAAAATAAAATGACCAAAGTCTTCACATAAGATTATTGTCTCGATTACTGTAGAATATTCTCACATATTTTATAGTATGTTATAATTTAACGTTGTATGCGTTTGTTACAATTTTTTTTTCCAATCATGGATGAACTACATGTTCATACAATAATATGTACTCACAATTCATAAAGAAATGACTAAAGTGAAAATCTAATTAGATACTAAATTGTCTAAAGCGTTCTGTGTAGAGAAGAGCATCGGTGGTCTAGGGGTAGAATAGTTCCCTGCCACGGAACAGACCCGGGTTCGATTCCCGGCCGATGCACACTTTGGCTTTTACCAGTCACGTGCAAAATCATGAACAAAACGGTCTGGATGCTACTGACTAATTTGTGGTCAGGTTGTTCACAAAAAAAGAGTTGACTTCCTTCATGATCATCAATAATTAGTACAAAACCTGTTTATTCTTATTTATATTTTTTGATGGGACCCCTTGGAAACTCAATCTTCTTGAAAGTACCCAACAAGTTTCATTTTACCCTATGGACACATTCGACGTCCACGGTTGATGCAAAATACCAGCAGGAGACACGTAGATTAACTTAGGCAACAGCCCAAGAATCGGCAAAATGAAAAACCAATAAACATTCATTTTATATTCCACCGTCAACCATGTTCTTATAATCTATTGATTTGCTCTATAGATTGGGTAGTGTCCGCCAATGTCGGGCCAGAGTATATTTGCAACCATGTCTAACACAACGACGGGCACCTGAGTCTATATTACTCCAAATATGATCCTGAAGTGACCCCCATGTTCTACTCGAAATAACCCCAGATAGTATTGGAGCATCACTGCAGCCCACCATGAGTGGGCTGCAGTGCCGTCGTTGTCGATGGAATCCAATAGGGTAAAATGAAACCTGTTGGGTCCATCAAATGTTTTGAGTTTTCCCCGGGTTCCATCAAGTAATTTCTTCATTTTTTGGCATTCATCTTCAGTACAAATTGTCATTGAGCTTGTTTCAATAGTCATGAAGTAAATTGGACTCTTAGATATGAATGTTATTGTAGTAAAGCTAATATGATTTATTTCTTATTCATCACTTATACAAAATAGTTTTCTTGAAGAAGTATTATCTTCACAATTTTGAATGAAAATTTTCGCAACTAGGGGCTAAGACATCCACAACTGCTCCACTCGCAAATAGTGATACAAGATTTAGTCATTGAAGAATTATACCAACAATGGCAAGCACGCTTGTACTAGAAGAGAAGGTTATGATATTTCATCATCTACATTCACCTATGTACATATTTCTTTGGTTTGTTGATAATTTCACAAAAAATCTCTATCATAATGTGAGGTGCATCTCTGGCGGGGTTTGGCATCCCCCGGGAATAGGTTACTGAATTCGGGGATAAGGGTTGAGATAGGGGGACAAGCGGAGTAAACAGGCTTACTCCCTCTTGCTAACCGGGGGTTACACCCGAGGTTTTTTAGGGTAGAAACCGGGGACACCCGTTGTAAATGTCACTTTATTGTATAGATTTCGGTAGCACTAGCAAGAAAATAGCGGACTGAACTGAAGAGGATAATCAGTTTTGAGAACCCCCAGAATTTTTTCTGGACACATCTGGGTGAATTTTTTTCTGAACACATCTGGGTGAACCCGAGAAATCAAGAATCTTCAAATCAAAACGTTTTGTGGCGCCTTCCTGGGGTGACCAGGTGGTTTTTAGCCATGCCTGTCAAACTCTGATCTCTGGTCTTCTACGAGAGGATGGGGCTAAAAGCTATCTCTACAGTCTGTTCTGGTCTATCTCCAAAACCATCACGCGTCTCTTCGAGTGGCAGCAAACTCTTTGATCTTGTCGCTTCCAATGAAGTTTTCTCTTTTAACCTCGAAGGCGATATCAACGGTCTTAATTACTCCATCTTTCCCTCCCGATCTCTGCCAAAGCTTCTGTCTCAGCCCAGTTGGATCTGTCGGCAACCTTCGATGAATGTCGGTGGATTTCCTGGGTGGAGATGTGTCGGGGACCAACATGCACGCTGCCACCATATCCTTTCAAAAAGTCGAGGCCTCCATCGTTCACACCCCAGCCCTCCACTCTCCTGCCGAATCAATCTTCAGGGAGCTCCAGTGGCTTTTATTTGCACTCGACCGCGTGACCAACAGGTCACTACCAGCTTCATTTTGAACATACTTCACACCACTCCGCCCATTTTGCGAAGAACCTTCAAAAACGATTTTCTTCATGAGAGAGTCTCTGTCTTGGGCATCAACTTGTTTGATCGTCACTTGGTTTTTTTTGTCATTGTCAACATTACTTTTCCGAAAGACGTCGCCACCTTCTATAACAGTTCAAGAGAGATCTGGCAGGATCAAACTCAGATTGTTGATTAAACCACCATGAATACGACGCTGATTCTCCATATCTCAGAAAGAGTTGTCTCTTTGGAAAGTATCATTTTTTTTGGTCTTCTTTTCATGTCCCTCCATCGTGATTCTCGATCTGAAACTTGCCAAACTTGAATCTGTAACCTTCTTCAACCACTTACTCGAGATTCGACAATTTCAATAAAGAATCACCGTATCCCACTCTCCTAATGAGAAAACGTTTCCGTCTCGAGCTGAATGAGAGCAACAACGTCCACCTTAAACTGGAAGGATCCCACAGCTGATAAAAGAGAAGGTCCTCATCCTCCACGACCCTCTCGCCATGACTTATGAGGAACAAATCCCCACAGAAGGCATGGCTCACAGCAACACACTAGAATAGCAAAACCACGACTCCGGAACAAGATTGTATGACAGTCATGAGAAATCCAGAATTCCACAAATGCTTGCCGCTCTACAGAAAAAGCCTTGACAGGTACAGAGTGGGACCTCTGCGTGGCGTGAAGAGAAAGTCCGTGGAGTCACATTTTGGTGCACGACAGAGACGGTGGATGTAATTGGGAACTCCATGGCTACCAATAGAGAGCGTGGATGACTGTGAATGTTGCATCATTTTTGGCAGCGAGCTCCGGTCAGGCGACATGTACAGAGTTCCTTGCACGTCAAGCAGCCAGAAGGGAGCTATCTCTTACTTCTACCTTCTACCGGAGAATCCATAAGCTTGGTCTGATGTAAAGCTGTATATTCAGAGAAACATCTACGCTCGAAAATGAACACTTGATGAGATAATGATAACGATTTCTATGGTAAAGTCAGTAAAAATATAATGAAAACCATCTTTATTTTAATTATAATTGAAAATAATCACTTTTAGTTTAAAATTTTTTCATAGATTCATGTGTTAAGGAAAAAAAATTAGTTCATTCTCAATAAATAATATTATGTTTTAAAGTTCCATATTTTCTTCATTTGATTAAATTATTAACTGTTGATTCCTATTATGGCAATAAAGATATCAATTCATCATCCTAAGAACTGTGAAGCTCATCAATGGTATATAGTTATGTTATTTGAATGACTCATCATCAAATGTTAGCATAAGATTATGAATTTACAGATTGTAAGACATTATATTGATTCTTTGATCTTTAGTGTGAATCTATCTATTTAACACATCTCTTTAAATTGTTGATGAACTGTTGACAAATTATTGAAAATAAATCTGATTGAAAATAATCTCAAATTTTAATCTACATCATTTATTCTATACACACAATTTTCTTTTACGAATTGAAACCTACATTGTCGTAAATTTACACAAGAAATATGTATATAACAAGGACACTAGACACTGGTTAAAAAAATTATTTAGTTAATTACTACAATATTCATAAGAAATTATTCTCTTCATATATAATATGGTTTGTTCAAGACAAAGAAAAATCCACTGCTGAACCAAAATTAATAGTATGGGATCTCATATATTTTGAGCATTAATACTTGGTCACCCCGTTTGATTTCATCCTTCTGGTACTCGACAGGGCACTGTACTCCATACCCTGACATCGATTCCCGACTCCCTTGCCACCAAAAATAAATAACACACAACAACACCATAAAACAATTATTACTCTATTCCGAAAGCGCAGGAGGACTGAATTCGGGACCAGGTGCATTGAACTTGGGAAGCAAAGCTTGTCGTCAAGCGGCCTCTGCCTCTCACTGATTGTACTCTAATTTTATCGAAGCTGCGCGCGAAGTTGCGAGGGCCCCGAGGCGACTCGACGAGGCCCAGGGGAATCTGCGAGATGCTTCGGAATCTCATGGCGGAAGATGGCACCCAGTCAAGCCGGGCTCATCTGGACAGCTCCGTGCCAGATGCCCACCCACCTGCTGTCGTATCAGCTCGCGACGAGATGCCGATGTCAATGACGATGTGTATATAGAGTCGACGATTTGTGGGAGAATCGGCAAGTTTTCGGGAGACGAGAACGAGCAGAACTCTCTTATGGTGCTTGCGGTCGCGCGATTCCACCCGGTCCCGTTCTGCTTCGCGCCGAAGAAGAAATTTCATCTCGTGCCATCGCCGCAGCTGCTGCTGCTGCCATCGCCTGTGCAGTTGAGGAGGATTCAGAAGACGCGGGTCGTGTCGATGTCGTCGGCTCTTCAAGGTGCGAGGTTGGTGCCGCAACCGAAGTCAGAGACGAAGTTCGCGGACCCGATCGACTCCTACGATGTGCATATTTATTTCTGGCAGACCGACGAAGCGAACACGGCGCTGGCCAAAGAATTGCGCCAGGAATGTATCGACAAATTTCCTGATCTGAATATCTACAAGTTCTGGGATACACCCGTAGGTCCTCATCCTGTGGCCATGTTCGAGGTCGATTTGAAGTCCCCTGATCAGTTCCTCAGATTCGTTCCGTGGATCCAAGTCAACAGGCGTGGATTGTCGGTTCTGGTGCACCCGAACACTGGCCGTCCTCTGGACGATCACACCAAGAACGCGATGTGGATCGGCGAAAGGGTGCCTCTAAATCCCGCGTGCCTGCCCGAAACTGAGCCTCTGTAGGTACACTTCATTCGTTCATTGGTTCGGTGAACTTCTTCAAAAATCGTTACACACCATCGCTACGCTCCACCCAAGATTGGTCGTCTCGTGAGCTCACTTGGGGCCGCAGCAGCAGCAGCAGCCTTTGCGAAATGTTCACTTCTTCGGCAAAAGATCTCACCATATCCGCCACTCACAAGTGGATGTCTGCACCGAGAGTGCAGATTGCAGGTTGTTCAGCGGCATGATCACTTCACTTGGATAGATCCTGTATTCAGAGGTGGAAGAACAGATTTAAGTAGCGTAGGCCTGTGTGTTTTTGCCGAAGATCATGAGCGTGCACGAATTCATCAGTTACGGGATCTCTCCGAATCCCTTCAATCCCTTCCATGGCCAGGTGTCCAGTGGTGTATGTATTTAGGAGAAATTTGTTGTACATGTGCAGCCCGTTTTTGTTCAGCTTAATATAATTTTGAGTCCTCTGTATGCAAGCTCCTGTTCCTCGAGCACTATCAAGACCATCATTTCTTTGAGTGGAACTCCTGTCAAATCTGGAGCGGATAAGCTTTCCATGATCAGGTGATAAGAAATGGATTTTTCTCAGTTTTCCTTCGTCAGTGTCTACACGCAGCCACGATATGGCTAGCAAACGTGGATGCGCGTGTATGTAGTTGCAATATTAAATCGCTCTTTTGATGGATGTTATCGTGAGGTTTTGAAGGTCAAAGGCTCTCGCCCGATTCTGGTCGCCGGTAATAGCCCCGTCTGTTAAAGCCTATGCAGTTTTAACGTTATGGTGCTGACAGTATTTCTCTAGCCAATTCTCAAATGAATGAATTCGCTCAATAGCCGCAATCAAGGTAAAATTTGTGATTGCTTGAAGTCCAAAAATCATAACTGTGAAAGTCCTTCCGGAAAGTCGATGTCCTTTGCATTCAATTCCATCATGGTAAATGCACAATAAAGAAACAAGAAACACATAACATTCACAGTTTTTTTTGTCTTTAGTACTAGCCACTTGTTTCTTATTCGGTTGGGCATGGGTTTTTTTTTTTTTTTTTTTTTATATTTGTGCATGTGTCTTTCTCCCACGTGTTGATGAAGTCACGAAGTCTTGGGGGAAAAAAGACCAGATCTCTGTCCTTTCAGTTAGTGGATATGAATGATTAAAAAATCTTTGTTGTGCACATATTTGAAATGTGACAAGTAATGTAAATTTCGTTATCTTAATTTAACCATTTCTATTAGGATTGAATCAAACTTCAAAAGACGGTATGAAACATCGTCCTATCTTCTAGACCTTGGTTCACTGCTTTTTAAGGATCCTTCAATGCTGACAGCGATAATATAAAATGTACTTGTAACACTGCTTTGTCATCACGAAGTACTTCATTCAAATAATTACTTTTCACTTCAGTGAAGCATCAAACAGGTCCCAGCAAAATTTTAAGCAATATCAACACTGGATTATAATGGTTCGATTGTCTAGCTCGAACAATACTCACGTCTTGACAGCAATATCTGAGGCATATTCTGCGGAGAATTCATTACCCTTTCAAGACCCGTCTTTGCCGTTTATGTAACCCTTTTAAGCCTTCTGAAACTCAACGTGTTCATCCAACATTTCGCTTTACTATTGGCATTAGTAGTGACCATCGTACGGTGCTCCCGCTTCACCAGCTGTGAGTGCCAAGGAAATATATGGCAAATTGCATATAAAAACTGGACCATGGTTGCTCCTCTAGTTGAACTGAAAAGGAATGTGAAGGAAATATATATACATATGACAGTGTGCATGGTAAGAGCAAGGGAACTATAAAACTTTGGACCAGAGTTGCTCCTCTAGTAGAACTGAACCACAGACGGCAGGGAATGCGGAAGCTAAGAGATGAGGAAAAATTTGTCTTACTGCAAAAGGAAGACCTTCATCCAAGTCAGACTAGCCTAGCCACTAGCTACAGGTTTGGTTCAATTCAACTACGACTTCATGGGTTACTATTATTTTTTTTGCTATTCAGTTTCCCCTCATTCCTGATTTCTCCTAATGCCTCCTCACCATGTGCATGTTCTTTTTTCTATTTTCATTGCACTTTACAACAGCATGTGAGGGATTTTGGAAAGTGACCATACATTGTTATTCATACATATTGTGGAAAAACATGTACAAAAAATGTATGGTTATCTTTGTGAATAAATTTCGTTTTTTCATATAACTAGATTAAAAACACACGAAATTTATAGATACAAATTTTTTGCATTTAAATTTTCTTTTGAAATGATTGTATTCGTACTAAAAATTCAATTGTGGTTGTTAAGTTTTTTGTATATTTTTTTTCTTCCTCTGATCCAATTGAGACTTAGTTGAAACATTATGAATATTGCAAAAAAGGGTTTAAATATATTCTTAGAGATTTGATTGTGATCATTTCACAAGTTAACTGATGAGTTGTAAAAAATGTTACAAATTTTTTGCAGATTCTAGGAACTACATGATGAAATCTACATTCTCATCATTTTTTATTACTTTCTTTATGTTCGTTATAGGGTCAAGTTCCTCTCCTAAAACAGACTAGATCGTGACACCTCATTTTTGTTGTGGAATGGTCTCTACACCTTGCTATGTGAAAACGATACATAATATTATGATAAAATCATATCATATGGGCATGTGAGAATAAGAATAAAATTATTTTTTCATAAAATACATTACACACATGTTTAGCTTTTAGTATTATTATTCAGGATAAACCGAACAGATCATGAGAATGATTAGCCTATCACTTAGGTTCTATTATAATTTTCTCAGGATTAAGTTTTCAAATTCACTTTTATTCCAAAGGCTTCCTTGAGCAGATTATGATAAGATTAATTGTACATTTTGCTTTCTTTCCTTCATCATTAATTTTGCTTATTATTCAATTTTGGCATTTGATCCCACGTACTATTTGTATATGCGTTACAGACAAAAAGCGCGTGTAGAACATAGTAAGATCCCGTCAAGATCTCAGAGATCATGTGAAGAGGACTGAACTACATTTGAGATTGATTCTATCAAAATCACAAAAGTAAGTACTCTAAATCAACACTTGATACTTTGGATATGGCCTGATTATAAACACTTTGAACAAGATGTGCATTGGATTATAGGTGCAAGAAACCTTGAACTTTTTATGCTGACTTCTACAATGGAGGCTATTGAAACTTCACGTCTTTTCTGTATGCGAAAACACATTTTCCTAGAGTGTTGGGCTAACAGCCATAGTAGTTTCATGTCTTGTTGAATCACTTTTTGTTGACTCTTTTTGCTTGGTTTTTGACCATGTTATGTTGTGTTTTCACTTTCACAGCGGATCATATACATGTTGTGTTTCATTGTATGTGATGATATTTTTTACCACTTACAATTGATTTTATCAGACATGCCTTTGACTATATCGTTTATCAAAAAAAATGGAAGGTTTCAAGATGAAGATATTAAAGTGTATAACGTCATCTTCTCAAGAAATTTTTTTTCTCAATTTAATTTTTCAAAAAAATTTTGACACTTACACATGATTCACATATTTGGGAAGTGTTAGTTGGATCAATTGATTACCTAAATCCTGCACTAGCAAAAACTATATTGCACATAGATGAATTTATTTAAGAGCGGACTTGCTTATGATATGTTACATTCTGGTTAAGTTTTATTTTCGATTCACTTAGCTTATTTCCACCTTTTTTTCCATCTGCAGCGTTTTGTACTTGAAGGTTTTTGATAGATAGATGATCTGAGGATCTAAAGTTCATCACATGTACATCTTCGTTTTTCTTTCATTCCTGAGGAACAATGTTTATACCCAAGGCCGGAACATTACTTCCTCTTACCTATAAATTACACGCGTCACTGAAAAGGTGTGAAACGTTATAAACGTGAGTCTAATCTAGAACGTCTTGGAACTCCGTCCAGCTGGAGGTTATCAACCAGTTAACCTTTCTCACAACTTGTTTCTATGGAGCTCCGTGCTACAGAGAGACTACTCTCTTCGTGAAAATGACCTGACGACACTTTTATCTGATGGATCTGTACAGTACGGGATGAAATGATACAAATGAAATGGATGATGAGTGGAAGTCATCGAGGATAACTAGAGAGAGTGAATCACTTGGATGAGCCTGAAGTGGTGGGCCAGTATGACAGTTCAGATTTCCGTGGCCCAAGTTTTCCAGCATACTCGCTTTTATACCATGGCAACGCTGAAGAAGAGAAATGATACGCAGGTTAAAATGGGACATGTCCCTGAAACGGAGCACCTTCAATCGACTACAGTACTATCAAGCATACTTTGGAGCGAGAAATTGATGTTTTTGATGAAATTCCTGCTATGAAGCGCAACTTCTCCTCGCTACCGCCAACTCTTCTCTCGTTGATGTTCATCGAGCGTGGAAGTGGGTGGGGAATCCTGCAGTCCCGATAGGAAAATGCTGTCAGAAGAGATCATAAGAAAGAGCAGGTGTACACATGCACCCAGGTACCCACCGTTTATCCCATTCCATATCCATGCCTACTGTTTCGTTACTGTTATGAGTTCTCACTGACAAACGTCATGTGACAAGTGAATTCTGTAATATCAATACCAGGTGCTCATAACCATATCCCAACCAGGCCCAGTAGCTCAATGCAAGAGCCTTCCAAGCTATGGATCTGGGCTGCAGGTTCAAGTCCTGCCTGGGCCCAACTGTTTTTGGTATCTTGATGAGAACATAACCATATCAGCTTTTACACTCCAGAAGTCCCAGTGATGAGACAACTTCTTGTATTCAGTCATCTTACCCCTACATCTGAATGTCCTAGTGGCTGAATGCAAGAGCCTTCCAAGTATGGATCTCTGAAGCAGGTTGAAGTTCTACCTGAGCTGCAATGTTTGCATGTTATGACATGACAGACACCAAAGATGGCCCAGAAGCTTAATGCACTTTGTACTACAAAAAGGCATTGAAGGCATGAAGTGACTACAAAGTTTGTAGTCACTTCATGCCTTCCGAAGTTTATTCCCTTTAGGGTGATAGTGGTCTCCACATCAATGAAAGGACAACCCACAATGTCGTCGATACATGTGAATGTCTTCCCGTCACTCTTAGCAAAATGATCATCAGGTCGTTCTCGTCACCTGAAGACAATCTGTTGTTGCTAGCTTGAGATTTGAGATTTGAGATTTTGGTTCTCGTAAATTCTACATCTTCCAAGTCTACCTCTCCTATTTCGTAAACTCTTCTACTGTAAACCATCTCTTATTGCCTGCCCATGTAGTCTCAACTTCCTTCGTCCATGATTAGAGGAATTGCACTGCTCCTTCTCAATTGGATTACAACGTTTGTGATCCTGTAACCATTCTCTACGTAAGAGAAAATCCCTTAGTGCTATATTTGTGCATGATTACACCCCATGCACAACAACAACAAAAATCTCCTTCTAGAGATAAAATATAAGTTGCTTTAATGATCATAGTCATATGAAATAAATTTATCTTCAAGTACTAAAACCGCATGCTCTTATGTCCAAGCTCTACGATGTTGCAATGGCTATCGCAATCTAGCTCATGATCTGCGAGTCATCTATCAAGCAAGAACACATATTTCCGACCTAGGAAGCCAGTAACATTGAACAGGTTGGAATCAAAAAATTCTGAAGTACTATGGCCATATCTTACACTGCCGCTCTATACGACCACCTAACTTCTGCGTGTAACCTACCAAATTTGGACCCTTCAATATGATCACTACAACCTGAAGTTGAAAATCTATCAAACCAATATTAGATCCAATCCATGCAATCAATTAGATTAAACAATCGTTTCTTCTTCCCAAAATCAAAGACTCTGAAGCGAAGTTTCGAATTACGTCAAGTGTACACTCCTCCATGTCCGAAACTATTGTATATTGAGTTATAGAAGGTCAGTTAGTTTCTTACTCGAACGTTCCCGAATTCCAGAATTTTAAAGTACTGTTTCTAGCATGTTAAGAACGACCAGTATTACAAGGCCAATTGCAGTTGTATCTCCCGTTGGCCCTTGCGTCCATTACGTTTTGAGCCCTTTCACAGTCAGTTCTTACAACTCGTGACTTGATTGCTTTGTTTTTGCTGCCAGAAGGCAAAACTTTCTGGCCTTTGTCATGCGATACAACTTCAGTTGGTTACGAGGAAAATTCTCTTCGCGTCTTAAATTCGCCCGTGTAGTTTATCCATGAGTGTGTACTTAAGAACATTTCTTGATTGATGTTGATTTCACTTTTTTTGCTTCACTGCAACAACGGTCTTAGTCCAAACGGTTATACACGTTCGTTTGCAATGGCGAGGATTCACATGATTTCGCTCCTGCCCAGACCTTCCCAACACATCAAATTACCCAGATAATTTTCGCCAAGGAAACATGAGTGTAATCCAATGGGCTTGTACAGTCAGTCGCTACATATTTGAAATGTAAAACCCTATTTCAGTGCAAGACTAAGATTAACTGTCAAAAAATGTTGGTTCAGAGATCACGTTTGACACGAGCAAATTTGCAAGACTTTCGAATTCTCAGTCGAGCAAAGATTTCAGATTGATACTACACGAAGTGGTAGTAGATATCGTACCGTTCGATTTATCTCATCACTTCTCTTGTGAGAAGTACGAGAGTAGTTTCTCGTGAGAAATCATGCTTTATCAGCAGCATTAGTCCAGTCTCAAAGGGTTTACTTGCTGTGTACAATGAACAGTTACTTGGGTGAGGAGGGTGGTCTGATATGCATAACAACTACCTCTCCTCTGTAAACAGCTAATACGTCGCGGATAACAATCATGTTCAAATTATTCATCTCAGGATGTAAATACATAATTATGTTCTTTCACATTAATGTGATCCCAAATATGACAAGTGCCGCCTGACCTTCAAGTAAAAAGATTCACCATGACAGCAGAGTACACTAAAGATGAAAGTTCGTACTTTCATAGATTTAAGAGACCTGCCTAGAATAAGAAGAAATCTACCTTTGCAGATAATGGCCCACAGACAGGATTACGAGGAGGAAAATAAGGGCAAGTGTTCGTTCCGACATTCGATAAATGACAGGTCAGATTCGAACATCCAGGAGTAATATTCATCCAACCAGGCATTCTAGAAATACAGGTACAGAACAATTGCACGACACAGTTTGAAACACAATGTATCCACAAAAGTGAAAAGTGGAGTGAAATGTCATTCCATTGGAATAAAAACTCGATGCCTTACACACTGTTACCTAAAACCAACAGCTATCAGGTGGAGAGCAAGATTTGTAATGAAAGTGAGCCTTCTCGCTACAGCCAATATTTAGAGAGTGAGGCCTAAAGGTCCAACCTCAGGGACATGTTTACACATCGGCGATAGTGACCTCGACCTCGACACCTGGTTCGATGGTGATGGAAGTGATCTGCTTCACAACCTCCGAGGGGCTGTGCAAGTCAATAACACGCTTGTGCACTCTCAGTTCGAATCCGTCCCAGGTGTTGGTTCCCTCACCACAAGGAGACTTCCTGGTGGTGATGCGCATCACCTTGGTAGGCATGCGAACTGGCCCCTTGACTTTCAACCTCTTGTCCTTGGCTCCCTTGATGAGATCGGCGCAAACCTTCTCGAGGTTCTTCACATTCTTGGACGACAAGGTGATGCGGATTCGGTGCACCGTCTCGGCGGCCTCCTCGACTCCGACCTTTCCAGGCTTCATGGGCAACGCCGGGGCCGCCATGGCTCTAATAATCTACAGATGCGAGTTCTAAAACCCTGTTCGCAGCTCCCGAGACAGACGCCTGCTCTTCGAGCAGACCGCTTGCTGAGGAGTGACTTCGCAGCGCGAAAATGACAGTCGAACGTAAACGCGATCGAAAGAGGGCCCCAAAGTCTCGTCCGGAGTTTATAACCTAGTTCTCATCGGCATGCCCTATTCTGCTCCTGCAAAGCCCCGCCTAAACGGGGCTCGTTCCCTTCCACCCGTAGTCCCGGTCAGAGCTGACCGGCGACCACGGGTTCCTATTTTGTGGAAATGGAAATAGTTTCAACCAGCAATTGACGTGTCTCGGTTTCACCTCACTAACTGCGTCATTGCCCCAAGGGCAAAGATGGTACAGTATGTCCCTGAATTGCATATTGAGCGAGGAAGTGTGAAGACAACATGCAACGAAAAGAATGGTCAATGATCTTAGTTTCCTTTCCCACTCACTGAGAAATAAGAGAAATCGTTAGGAGGGTGGAAATAGTTTTATTACGCATAGTGTTGAGAACTTTTTTTGAAAGCTGCTATTAAATCTCTTCTTTGTGTCGGTTTTTTTTTTTTAAATTACGTGTGAGTTGGGCTTAAAATCAATCTTATTCTTCTCATTGTTTCGTTCGTTGCAGCATGACGTGGATTACAATAGAGCATTATGTGATTTGTATACGTCTGATCTATTTTCTCTTTATGCATCACCATACTATTTGAGTTCTCAGAGCGTTATCAAATGTAGTCATTACCTCTTGATGCATCAAATTTTAATAAAAAAAATAATTTTATGATAATTTGAGTTCTTTACTCAAAAATGGGTCCGTTGGTATTGATGAATTATTATAAGTATTTATATTGATAATCATTGAATGTATCATATCAGAACTGCATTTGAAATATAACAGAATATCCCAATTGAATAAATAAATTATTAAAATAAAAATTATATCTTGTATCTTTGGCTGTAAAACAGGTCATTATTACTATCATCACGTAAGCATTGATGTATATCGTTATAAGTTGATTGGAATAATTAAAAAATTTTATAAATACATATTTCCACTTAAATAGAATAGAAAAAAAAAACCTAGAAAATATTATCCAAAACGATGAAGTTGTTTGGATTCATATGAAATTCTTAAAAAAATTTAATTTAATTTTCTTCATATTAATATTCCATGGATTTATAGTTCTGATTTTTACAGTTTCATGAGAATCATGTGTTTTTTTCGTTGAGAAATATAGTAAATTTTGAATGTGAGATTTAATTAGATCATTGGAAGATAAAAAAAAAAAATTTATATCTTTTAACAAATAATTAGCATGAACAATTTATAGTATAGCTGTAGTTTGATTCGTCATTGCATACATATAGCTAAATTATATAGTCAAATTATATTTCTTGAGAGAAAAAATCAGTATTGTAAACCGGGAATTTCAAGATGATTCCTTGTAGATTAAATTGCATATAAATTCAATTTTCATGTATTTTAAATTATTTCTCATAAAATTAAAAAAATCATCAAAGAAGTATCAGTAATAAATGATATGTTATTATATTTGAGAATTTAATCTTGAATTTTTTTTGAATAAGTTTCAATTTTTTCATATTTATGATTTCTACCATCAAATATTTATATCTATATATATAAGAAAAATTTAAAAATAATAATTTCGGAATTAAACATACAAAATACGATACAGATGCGTACATGTAAATTTTACTTCGTATGTATCTAATTCTTGTATCAATAATTATATTAATACTCACTACCTAAAAAATGTGAATTTTGAAACTGAAATTTCATTCCCAGTGATGTGATTTAAGTACTTAAATATATATATATATATATATTTCTTATAATATTCGCAAGTTTACAATTTATCTCATGTTATTATTAATGTCTCTATATCTATGTTAAATTCTTGATGCATTGAAAGGTTATATAAGGAAAATTTCTATGTGAAATTGATGTTCACAATTGGTGTACTTTATTTCAAGTACATAACATGATTTCAAAATTATTGATATGTTGACTTTAGGTATAGGATTTGAGCTGATATCTTCAAACTTTGATTTCTGTCTTGGATGATGTTAATTATTTTACAGCGTTCATTAAAATCATCTTTTCTACATGCCTACTTGCGGGGAAAGCCCAAAGGGTATTGTAGCATGTGGGGAAAAGAGGAACACATAAAAAGTTAAAAAACCAAATATTAATATTCTTGTTTGGTTCTCCGAATTAAACACAACTACAGACAATATGTCAACATAGACAGACCATGAAAAATATTATTTTCGCTGTAGTAGATATAAGTATATTTTAAGGATGTCATATAAATAAAATAAAATTATACAGAAAAGGTTAGTCTATTGTACATCAGATGATGTGTACACAAAATCTCTCATGTTGTATACGTTGCATTTTGTTCTTTATTATGATTATAATAAATAAAATTGTATTCATTATTGTGATTATGGGTATCTAAATTCAACACTATTTATATTGGTTTTTCTTGAATCATATGGATGTATGATGCTCGATACATATTTTTTACCGTGAATTTTTTTTCAAATGACATAAAATGATGATCATATGATCTTGTTAATATTGATATCTTCAAATTGATTTTTATTGAGAAAAGTACTCTCATAAATTTTTCTGCAATGTTTATGTAAATTAAAAAATTATTAACCATTTGATCCTTTATAACAACTTATTTTTCACACATTTTGTGTTTTATTTTCTAAAATTTGAAAAAATTATCATATAACATCAAGGTTTAAAAAAAATTGATGATCTATGAAAATTCTACAAATGAAATTTATTTAAAATTTGATATAAAATGTAATAAATCTTCATCTCAATCAATATGGATCAAAATTAAATGAAATTTAGCAACAATAATATATATTTTACATGATGAAAATGTGTGATAATTTATGAATGAAACCAAATAAAATATAAATCTATTTAGGATTTTTTTTCATCAATATATATGATTCAATAAAAAATTAATCAGCATAAAAATCTAAATTATAATTACAACAAGGTTGGAAGATTTTTTCAAATATTTGAGAACAGGGCAATAGAAAGAATTTAACCTTTTATATCTATATTTTGTAAAAAAAATAATTTAATTGATATCAACAAATCTATGAAAAAAAATTAGCATTGTAGTAGCGTGATCTAATATCATTATTTTTCTATAACTTAAATTTGCTAGTGTTATATGTTGCATAATAAGCATAGAAAAAAAATCAAATGATTTTTGTATAATTAAATAATATGCTACTTAGTATATTAAAGTTGTACAAATTTTCTTACGAACAATTTGAAGTATAATGTAAAGTCTACTGAGTTTTCAAAAATTAGAAAACAAAGAGATGAAACTTTTGCATCCATTTTAGGAATTGGACTTCTATGTTTGTATTCATTGCCCATCCAAGAGGTTAGGAAAAATATATCATGGCAAATAAACTATACTTATACACATTCCCTTTGCTCTCTAAGAAAATTTGAAATTGTAGATTCAGAATACTGTCTTTGCATAATCCTTTAATACTATACTTTCACGTAAGTTGTTTCACTCAGTGTCCATTTAAAAGGATTATTAAACTTTCTCACCAAACAAGCTAGGTAATTATTAAGACGTGTAACCAGTGATGGTCACACGGAAACTATGCACAGTGATTATGTTAATAACTCCATAGTTTCAAAAACAATTAAACTGATTACATATCTATATACGTCATATTATTGGACCGGTTCTCACTAAGCTTTTGGAAGATGCTATGGTTCATGGTTTTCCATCAACTTGGTCCATGCGGAAGATTGTTCCTATTCATAAGTCAGGAAGGAAGAACGTGGTGACAAACTATTGCACCATCATGGTTGGTAGTGTTTTTGCCAAGTTGTTTGGGAAATTGGTAGAATCTAAGTTGAGCACATGGACAGAGGATTTTCAAAAGAGAGCAAAGGCCCAAGCTGGTTTTTGTCCTACATACAACACTATTGACCATATTTGGCCTTACGTGTTTTATGGGAGAAATCTAAAGGGCAATGGGAAAGCTTTATTTTGTGCCTTCATCGATTTGAAGAAAGCTTTTGATACTGTTCCTCGTAAGCTTTTATGGGAAAGACTACAAGACATTGGAGTACCGGCTAATCTACTCTGAGCTGTGGCCACTTTATACACTTCGGTTCGAGCTAAGATTGATGCCTCTCGAGCACCGTTGGAGTTATTCAAGGTTGTACTCTCTCTCCTACTCTATTCGGAATATTCATAGATGATATAGAAAGGTGGTTGGATGATTGTGAGAGTGAAGGAGTCAAACTTGGAGACTTTGTGATCAAAGCTCTTTTGTATACAGATGATATCATATTACTAGCACGTGATGCAATTAGTTTACAGAAACACCTTGATACTTTGGCTAGCTTTTGTACTCGAAATCAGATGGAGGTCAATCTAGAAAAATCAAAGATCATTCTTGTGGGCACTAGATCCAAGTTCTCTCTCTTTTACAAGGGACTAGAATTGGAACAAGTGAAGAGTTACAAATATTTAGGCATTGATTTTTCTCAGAATTATAGTTGGGCACTTTGTATGCAAAAGAGAGTAGAAGCTAGTTACAAAGCTCTATATTCATTGTTAAATCGATGTAGAAGAGCTCATCTAGAATCTTGGAGTCTTAGGAAATTTTTATTTAGGAGTTTAGTGTTGCCGGTGGTTTTATATGGGACACAATTGTGGGGTCTTGGCAGTAAGAATACAAGTTGAGAGCGTGTGGAGAGGGTGCAAAAGATCTTCTTACAAGAAGAATTAGGTGTAAGGAACCAAACTCCTTATGCTATTCTTCTTGCGAAAACAGTTGGTCTACCTCTTGAGGCTGAAGCTCTCTACTTGATCATCACTTATATTAGAAGGGTGAGATCTCTTGATGTTTCTCGACTTTCTCTTCATGCTTTGCGTGCCACACGTTCCAAGGAATGGTTTGCAGATGTGATGACTTGGTCTTTGAGGTGGAATGTGACGGAATTGGATTGGGATCTACAACCTAGGGCCCTACGCAAGCATATTAAGGAGGAGTTTCTCAACATTATTTGGAGGAGAGGAGGCACTAAAATG